TTTATTTAATTATGTAATTATATTTTAAATATTTGAGGATTGTTTAGTTAAATTATCTTAATTCTGATGTTCGATTATCTTTTGTGCTTTTATTATCACTTAACAAGAATGACACTTTCTTGAAGATTTTTTAATAAATCATGCTTTATATGTAAAGTGATTAGCTTTTGTGGGTTTCATAACTTTTGATGGTTAAATTTTATAAGGTGATGAGATAATAGTAACTGCAAAAGAAATAAACTTATAATGATAATTAAATTAATAAAATTAATTGTTATATTAGTTTGAATAAAAAACTATCGTGACAATTTTGACTTGGGAAGGCAAATATGTTCATTTGAATTTGAAGCCGAAGATAAAGGAAGCCTCATATTTTGTTGTTTTGTCGCATTCGAGCGAAGGAAGAGTGTTTGTATGCTTGGGAGGAAGATGACTACTTCTTAGCATGAGAGGAGTGTGTTATGACGTTGTTCGGGAGCATTGAGGCGAGGGGACGAACGATGACACCGAGCATGCTTTTTTGTGTGTGAAGGAAGGTTGAGGAAGTGCCTATCATGCGGGTGGCATTGTCGACCCGCGCTTTGTGAGGCAAGAGGAAGGGGCTTCTCGTGTGCATGTGGGAGAGAGGAGAAATAATAGAGATCTTCTGTGTGGGTTTGAGCATAAGGAAAAACATGAGTAAAATCTAGCAGCCCTAACTTGCATGTAAGAGAACACGAGACTCGCGTGTGGAAGGGAGGCCATACGGAGCGTAGCGTATGTAGGGTTTATAGTATTATTTATAAAAATTGTTTTATCAAATTAGTTAAATTTTATCAATTTATATTAAGTTTTATTACCTAATATCAGTGATTAATTGGACAAGCAATTGCGAGAGATTATGATTGGTGTTTGTGAAATAAAGGAAATGATTAATTGAAGGTTTATGTTTTTTAATTCTATCTTTTAATGAGTTAAATTACGATTAATTGATAATAGTATTAATTTGTGTTTTTTCTAATTTAATCAAAAAACATAGAATGAAGAATATTGGATTATAAATCGAGAAAGTTTTGCTTTGTGAAACTTGGGGACTGTAATTATTTACTTAATAGAAGGAGAAAGAGATATGCAAGTGAAATCAAGGTTTATTAATCATATTTCTACATTACGGTAATGTTTTTTACTCCTAATTGTATTCTTTATTTTGATTTTTTACATTTTTGCTTTTACTTCATTGAGACTTATACTTACTAGTGATGTCTTCATATTATTAGGTTAGATGTGTGCATGTTAAAAAATCTGCATAAACATTTGCATAATGGTTTATTTCTGAAGTTATTAGATTATTGCATGTTTTTTAGATTCTAGTAAACGTGCATTTATTTTATGAAGATAAAAATAATGTATCCTATGAAGTATGACAATATTATGAAGTATGACAATATTTTGTACATGATTGCTTATATGTGTATGCTGAGAGGTGTTTGTCGTCTTATGGTTTTGGCTAGACGTCAATGTACCCACGCACTTATATATTTTTCTGCCAGCTTAGATAATTGTGACACATAGATCACTAATCGTTGTGACGATAGAGTATCGATCGGGGGTGAGTAGGCATCTTAGCACTTCAGACAATCATATAATTTAAATCACGAACCGCTATGCCGACGGAACAATATCGGTCGGGGCTAAATTGACATATCTTCACCTCAGACAATCATGTAATTTAGAATGAGAACCGTTGTGCTGATGTGATAATACTGTTCAATGGTGTCTTATGTTATGGTTAACGTTACTTCTAATACTTATATGAAAGTTTAGAATATGAAGTATACTAAAATTAAAAGATTAAATCTTGAAAAATTAAGCTAAAATTAATGCATATTGAATTCTAAATTAATTATATTGAAGAGATATCATGAATACATACATTACATTATTATGTAATTTTTCATAATGAAAAATGAATGACCAGCATATATATTTTTTACTCTTCATTGAGTTGATATAATTTAGAAGTGTGATTGCTCCATTTGGTTATCTTTGATAATTCATTATGTTGTTTTAAATTTTTTAAGACTAAATTTTTAAATAAAAAATGAGTATTATAAAAGATATTGTATATAGAAGGTAAAATATACAAAATGAAAGGTAAAATTTATTTGTTAAATCAAATTACATACTTTAGAGACTCTTTCAAATTTTATATTGTAAACTATTATTGATAAAAAACTTTAATTTCACTATCCAACTATCAATTGCCGCCTTGAAAATTCCAAGGCCTAGGTCCGGTCATGTAATATTCTTAATAAATCATTAGCTTCGATATTATAGTATTTAAATATTTAGGAATGAAATATTTAAAATTTACCAAAATTTGGTTTCGACCTTCTAGTTACAACCTTAGTCTTGCACGACATCACCTCTCGACTGGGATCATTCTTTGTGACAAGTTGGGACAACTTGTGGTGGCTGCGGGCTGCAAGTTTCACCATCGAGACAACACACAAGTGGAGTTGGAGGCAATTTTATTTTTTTGAGACCTTGTTGAAGATTGACTGAATGTAAGGGGCTTCTTATTGAGGGAGATAACTACAACGTCATTAATATCCTTAGAGGCACCTTGGACAAGAAGGCATGGCAACATAGCATTCCTAGCTATCAAAATATTGGTTTCTCGCTTAAACTCAAGGAAGTTTTGTACCTTCATACCAATAGAGATAACAACATAGCTGTCCATACTTGTGTAAAGAAAGCCCAGGATAGTACTTTTGTCTTGTGTCATATTCATGAGCAAGATCTTATTTTTTTGATTTTACAGGCAGATATTTCCCTTTTTTGTAAATTCCCGAGGGACATAGATTTTTTTGTTTCTTTTTTGTATTGGGCTGTTTATTTTGCAACCATTTTTTTTTATTTTAATGCAAAATTCATATCTTAAAAAAAAAAAAACTCTATTTTCTTCTTTGATTTTGCACACTACATTACATTCTCTTGGTCTCGCGCTTCACCACGGTTGCACAAGCCTCCTTCATTGCTCTTGCTTTCTCGACGATGTCACCTTTTGCACTGCTTGTATCCATTGCACACTTTTTCTCTACTTCACTCCTCTGGTGGGCAAAGTCAATCGGCTTTCAAATGGGTTTTGTTCCGCCTTTAACGGCTTTGTTGCTGCAACCATGCTATAGATTGTAGCTTCCACACTAAATTAGCTTGAGGTTTACTCCTCAGCTCACTGTTGGCTTCCCTCTCTCGCCAAACAACCTCTATGCTCTTTTCCTTATGATTCAACCACAAGGGCACTGTCTCCTTCTCAATCTTGTTCTTTGCTCGCTTTGCCTCCAGCTTTATTTAATGTGCATCTCAACCTGTTCACTTTAAAACAATAGGGTTATTGTAAATTAAAATGGGGCATTATATTCTTCCCAACTTTTAAAAGTTTCGTCCTCGAAATTTATATATCATACCTTTATTTATGATGATATGATCTATATCAAATCTTTTAAATTTCAAATTAGAGTTTTTTGTTAAGTATTATATTGACTCTTTCTATAATATTCATATTATTTAATCTACATCATTGGTCTCTTGTACTATTTTTGTCATGACGCGAACATATCCCTTGGAATTTTCAAGGCGGGAATGGATTGTTGGACGGTGAAATTAAAATTTTCTACTGTCATTTTCTATCACTAATAGTTTACAATAGAAATAAATTAACAGCACTAAAAAAATAATTTAATTTAGCTTCAAAAATAAAAATAATTATGAGTTACCTTTCTGTAGGTTGGTCGCTAGAGCTGCTCAGTAATGGGGAAGCAAAAGCAGGGAAAAAAAATTTAATGCTTAGAAATTATATCTGTATATCTTTATACATATTTGTGTTACTCCTAACTATTTAAAAGTATCAAGTCGTTTCATGCCTGGTCTGGTGGGCATACTGCAGTGCTGAAATGTGCTGTTAACAGTAATTTAATTAGTTTAACTAGGTAATTATGATTATTTAATTAATTTAATCAACTATTTTCATTAAACCAAATATATTAATATTTAACATATGCTATTGTGTATCATAATTTTCAATTTAAACTGTAGAATTCGAGAAACGTAGTTCAGGTGGATTGCGGGGGACGGGAAGAATGAGGTATATTTTAAAATAATTAAAATTTGCTTAATTTTGTCCAAGTTAGATATTACAATTCTACTGATGCATTATAATAGAAAAATGATATACTCTGTTGGTAGTATATAGAATATTTGTAGCTTTGTCAAATGTTTAGAGTAGAAATTTTGTTCGTGAAAATTGTAACACACCCTGACCTGCATAAGATGAGCTGCATAAACGTAGTTACTGTTAACAAGTTGATATATTTCTAACCTAGATGTGGCTTTTGAGGTGTCAGAAGTCTCATTAATGATGATTCCAGTGATAGAGCTACAGGGATATCATCTTCAATGCATCTTCAAAAGCCGGTGAAGGAACTAACTTAAATGATAAATCTTGAGTAATATCCAAAAAGTTAGAACAATTTACAGGGACCAAGGCAGTGGGAGCATTACTAAGCAAATTGGTTACATCCATTTGATCTTGATTATTTACAACAAAAAAAAAGAAGAAATGTTGCACATTAATTATACTATGATCAATAGAGTCAACACTAATAGTAGGAGCCCTAAAGAATGATTCCCTTATTTTCCAATGTGCCTTAAAGCAGTCAACACAGTCATGTTTAAAATTTTTTCAAGTTTTGCAATATGTGGGCAAAACACCAAATTTCTCTTTTTTGCAAATAGTCATGCGAGAAAGTGCTAATTTATTATTATTTTATTCCGTCAACAATTGTTACTTGCTTATAAATTACTTGTTCCATCGTTCATTATCAGTGTTGGTAAAATATTTGCATGAACAGAAGATAATGCATTTCATGCTATTGTTTATAAAAGTAATTTTGGTGTTTAGAATGCAATCATTTCTTTTTCCTCTATGTTTTCTGTTATTATTATCTTATATCTTGCAGGGTAACACTGCAAAACCAGATGGATTAGAGGAGATCATAAAGGCTGGAGCTATGGGTCTAAAGCTGCATGAAGATTGGGGAAGCACGCCTGCGGTAATTGACAATTGCTTAGCTGTCGCAGAACATTTTGATATTCAGGTAATTTAGTTTTTTCTTTTTTCGCTGAAGATTTTTGCAATGGAGAAACTCTATTTTCTCGTGGGTTGGCCTTAATTGACCAGGTCAATATCCACACTGACACTTTAAATGAATCTGGGTGCGTGGAACACACTATAGCCGCATTTAAAGATAGAACAATACACACGTACCACAGGTATGTTTATTCCCATTTAGTGCATATTTCAATTTTCAACCATTAAAAACTATTGTCAAGTGATTTTCTTAAAAATATTAAAAATTTTTACAGTAGTTGCTGTCTTTTTGGCTTGTTATCAACCAATGAGGAAAACAATTTGTGGCTTGACTGAAAGTACTTACTATATGAGCTTCATCAAGCTGCTAATCTCAAAATAGGTTCTCAGATTGCTCTAACTGCCACGTGATGGATGAAGGTTTTAGGTTTTCTAATTTGCGCAGATTTTATACGGTAATTTAGGATTTTTATTAAGTCACTAAATACATAAATTTAGATTAAAGACTCTAAATACATTTGTCAACCCTCTTGGACTAATTAGAGGCATGACAAAAGGAGAACACATGAATAAGACGTAATTTTTATCAACACTCTTCTTGATGTGTTCTCATCATGTTCAAACAAGTAGAGAAAAGCTCTTTACTAAATCATCACATGCGAACACTCACATTTCAAATCTTCAAATATTCGTTGATATTAATCATAAGTATGCATAAATAATTATCAAATAAAATAGAGCTGCTAACAGCACTTACATATAAAATCATATATAACCCAAAGGTCTTCTATAAATGTCCAAAACTTTATATTCTAGAGTTATACATAAGGTCAAATCACTTAATTGTACTCCTGCTCCTTACCTCTCTCTAAAAAGCAACCTAGTAATATTTGATATGCTACACATTCAGTGAGATAATCAATGCTAAATTATAATTTTAAATGTACAAGTAGGAAACATGTGTGCTGGTCAATGACTAATATGAGTAATGACATTAATGATAAATAAACATGCTTAAATTGTTAAATGTGTACTAAAAAAGAAGTTGAGGAAGTTTTAAAGAAAACCAACGGTGGAAAGTCTGTAGGACCTGATGATATCTCAATTGAAGTGTGGAAATATTTAGGAGATTTGAGAGATTCTTGGCTTACTAAACTTTTTAATATTATTTTAAAAACAAAAAAGATACCGGAAGACTGGACCGGAAGATTGGAGGAAGAGTATTTTGGTCCTCATTTTTAAGAATAAAGGGGATGCACAAGAGTGTATAAATTATAGAGGAATTAAATCGAAGTGCCATACAATAAAATTATTGAAGAGAGTAATTGAACATAGATTAAGACGTGATACTATATTTCTCATAATCAGTTTATTTCTTATAACCAATTTGGATTTATGTCGGACAGATATGCATTTTTTGAGAGATATCGAGAATTTTAAAAAGAATAAGGAGGATTTGCATTTGGTTTTTTAATGATTTAGAAAAGCTTACAATAAGGTTCCAAGAGATACCCTTTGGAGAGTTCTCGTGAAGAAAGGTGTTGGTATGAGTTATATTCAAGTTCTTAAAGATATGCTTGTTAGAGTTGTTACTTGTGTTCGAGCAGAAGGAGGATTGACCAAATGATTTCTTATTTCATTTGGATTACATCAGGGATTGACTTTAAGCCCATATCTTTTTGTTTTAGTTATGGACGCTTTTACTGGACATTTATAGGAGGATGTACCTTGGTGTATGCTTTTCACTGATATCTTTCTTGTAAATAAGATTGGAGAAAGAGCTTAGGAAAAATTTGAATCATGGAGGTCTACATTGGAGTCTAAAGGGCTTCGTTTGCGTAGAACTAAAATTGAATATATGGAATGTAATTTTAGTAGTAGTAGCTCTAGTGACAGAGTTGTAACTATGGGTGATCAAATTATTAAAAGTTGTGAACACTTTAGATATCTTGGGTCTATTGTTCTGGCCTAATATTGAAATTGTAATACTTCAAAATATGTATGTATTAGTCGAATTCAAGTTGGTTGGTTGTAGTGGAGGAATGCTTCAGGCCTATTGTGTGATAGGAAAGTACCGCTTATATTGAAAGGAAAATTTTATAAGATTGTGGTGAGACCTGCAATGCTCTATGCTCAAAATGTTGGCTTTTAAAAGGGAAGCATAAAATTAAGTTAAAGCCTTGTTGAGATGAGAATGCTTTGGTGGATGAGTGGCTTTAAAAGGGAAGCATAAAATTAAGTTAAAGTCTTGTTGAGATGAGACTGCTTTGGTGGATGAGTGGCTTTACACATAGAAACAAAATGCAAAATAAATATATTCATGATAAGGTTGGTGTAGCTCCTGTGGCGGATAAAATTAGAGAAAGTCGTCTTAGATGGTTTGGTCATATTAAACGCGACACATTAAACGTGGACTATCTGATGCTCCGGTTAGGAGAATAGATGTTTTAGATTCGACTTATGTTAAGAAAGGCAGAGGTAGACCTCAAAAGACTTAGGCATATTGTATACAAAATGATCTTAATTTATTAGATTCAAATGTAAATATGATTCTCAATAGGATGCAACGGAGAAAAAAAAGTTTCATTTAGCCGATCCCACTCAGTGTGATAAAGGCCTGTTGTTGTTATTTTTGTGATTGTGATTGGAAATATTAAAATGGCTATTAACAATTTCTTCATTCATTATATCTTGCATGGTCACATGTGCATCTATTTTACTATAATTTGCAATCATATTCATCACTCTAGGCAAAAAATGTTATGTTATATCTGCATAAGTTTTAACTTTTTTCACTTTTCTAGTCGTCACCCAACCTGTTGCCAATAATCGTCATTAATAAATGTTGATTGTCTCAATTTTTGCATCATCAACGACTCACTAGCATCAATTGGTCTATTCTAACCTTAATATCAAGCGTCGGAAATCCTACCATTTTCTTATATACTCTTTTTTATTAATGTTTGATATTAATAATTATCTGATCTGTTGGAATGAAAGTGTTTGCTTGTAATGATTTAGTAAGACTAATTTATCGGTTATTTGATCCTGATGAGCACTGCTCAAGATGAGTGTCATCCAATTTTGGCTATTAAGGAAAAGTTAAATTACTTTAATATATTCCTCAATTTATCGCATTCTCTGAAATCCAAGTGAATTAATTTTATAAAAAAATTATATTTTTTACGATTAAATTAGTATATAACACTATAAATTATGATTGTATTGGGTCATATAAAAAGTTAAAATAAATTTTTAATTAAACTTAGTTAAATTCCTAATCAATTCTTAATTAATCAATGATTTTGTAGCACTGTGGCAATCCAGGTTTGTGAAATATGAAATCACGAGGGAAATAAATGTCCAAGGCTTTTCATTTATCCCATCTCTCTTTCCCACATCCATTTCCCTCAAGGCTCTATGTTCGGGTACTACAACCAAGCAGAGTAGACAAGAATGCAAAGAGCCGTGGCTCCAGGGTAGGAGTTTTTGGAAGAAATTGGTAAGAGAATCCTTCCTTTCACGCTATTTGAAGCATTCATTTCCTTTCATGTAATATTTTTTTGTGGTTTGCCATGAGTTGAATAACTTTTGATTTCCTGATTACTGTAGAAGTGGAATAGTGGTCGGAAGCTACGAACTTGGATTTTTGGCTCTTGGGTAATGCTATTAGCAGGAAATCGGAGAAAAATAGAAGGGGAGGAATAAGAGATTTAAGGGAATTGGAAGTTCTTATGGAGAGGAGGTAATGCAAGGAAATCATTAGGTGGTAAAAATAAAGTTGAATTGGTTTTGGGGTTAATTAAGATTCTAAGCTAAAAAATTCATGAAATTTTAAGGGGTTTATGATTCAAGGCGGTTTAAGATAGTTGATGAACTCGAGGCAAGCTCGAGGAAATTCGTCATAGGGCTGCTCTGTCGGCTCTGTCGTTTTAGGTGAAATAATCTTGAACTAATACCGATGAATTTATGATTTTATCACTTTTATTGATCTGATGAGCATGTTTTTTAAATCATGGCTTGTAGGTATTGATATACTGTTGTTTATGCATATGATACATGATTTACCTATGATGAATGATTATTATTGAAATTATGTTTAAAGAAATGTCGCAAATGTTTTAATAGGTCGGCTACTACTTGAATGTCTGCATGTACGGATGACAAGGAATGTTGGAATTCTCGTGTTGTGATATTTAGGCAGGAGATGAAACTTTTGGCTTCAGTGTAGTTATTGATAATTGTTATATTGGGAGTGACCCATCCTTTACACAATGACATGAAATGAAATGATGACATGATTTGTCTGAAGAGTGGTGTTAGCTAATTTCATATTGGAATGCGAGGCAGAAAGGTGGTGGCAAGACCATCATGGAGAGAAATTTGAGCTAACACCTCTTCCACGGATTCAGTGGGATGTGTTAGAGTATTCAAATATTGGTTTATTCTACAATTAGTCAAATTTGCACTGCAAGATAAAAATTTCAAATTGACTCAAAGTTCCAAGGCAGTCATGCAGTGTGAAGCAGAATTTATTTCTTTCTAGATTTGCACCTTATTATGTTAGAATGCTGGAGAAAAAAATATCTTGATTTTAGCGTAACCTCCTAGATTAGTTTTGAAATTAATGATTTATTAGTCCTAGTTGAAAGGGCAAAAGATTTAAAAATGAGCTAAACCTCTCTAATCACGTATGACAACTTTAACGGTAAGAGAGAAGACTTTCAAAGTAAGAAACTTAAATTGGAAGGTAAAGAGAAGCAGAGCCGGTCAGAAATGCCAATTTGTGAGATGTGTGGAAAAAGCTGATTTAAGCAAATGCTTGTTTGGTTTTTGAAAATGCTATATGCGTGAACAGGCAGGGCATTGTTAGATTGATTGTCCAGTGGAAAAGTAAAGGAATAATTGGATGCAGACATTTCAAGAACATGGACAGTCTATAAAACTTTTGGAAGGCAACCAGGCTAGCAAGATTCAATTTTTTGGGAAACTTCAACTCAAACAAAGGGTCAGAATTCAGAGTTCCGAAATGAGCCGTCGGTAAAGGCTAGAGTTTTTATAATTACCCCTTAATAAATTAAAGAATCTGAAGATAAATTTATATGTATGTTTTTTATTCTAGACAAGTCTGGCACATTTTTATTTGACTTGGGTGCATCACATTCTTATATTTCTGAAGAAT